GCCAGAAGTTGACTTTTTTAATGTCTAAATTGGTCTCAAACTACTGAACTCAAGCAATCCTCCCGCCTTGGCCTCCCAGAGTGCTAACGACGCCTGGTCTGTTCTGACTTTTTAATGTGGAATCCTGAAGTGTTATTTACTGATCTCCACCCGCACAAAAATATTGTCTCTTTAAAAAATCATTCAAGCATTTTTTAAGTGATTAACTTAGTAAGTGCTAACTATGAACCACTGTGTCAAGTGCTAGGGATACAAAGGAGACTATGAATAAAAGCTTGGGGTTGGGAACTTGGGGTCGGAGGGCTACAGAAAATGCCTACTGTCTCATCTTTAATATGTCTTATTAAAGCCGAAAGTTCCAGGTTACATCATAACATGTAAGCTGAATGCTATTAAGCAACAATTCCATGTTTCTTCCATTGATCTATGGGTTTCAAAAACTTAATACAAAATGTAAGGTTCTGTAATTTTAGTCTTAATGAAATGACCAGTGAAAATCAATTGCCAATCAATTTATATCCGACTCGTAATGTGGTAGGATGTTTTATTGCACTAGTATGTAAAGTATACAAGATTACATGATACAACAAAAATAACTGCTGACTTAGATTTTCTGCTGTGGGCATCCTTATCACCTCTTAAATTAAGTAACTGATGTAAAATGTAGTGTAACTTAAGTTCCGGTATTCCAAAAGTGCCTTTAAAGCTGCCTTATAATCTTAAAACCTTACTGTCTCTAGCCAAAAGCGATCGAGGTCACTTCGTCTCTGCTGTTTGTTCAATGTAATTAGCCATCGTCCTCCCCGTTTGTTTTTCTCATCTTCCCACATGGGCTCGATACCATCCTACAGGGTTAGAAGACAACAATATTAGCTAACAGTCACCTTGACTTTGAGAGAAATGCATTAGAAACAGCAAGGAACACTGTCAACTTTTTACTTTACTCCCCATAAAACTATCATTGATGTAGTTTTTAAAAAGCACATGGGATTTAAAGCCAGAGGCATAAGACTGCAGAATTAAGTAATGACTTTGTCACTTATTAGCTATCAAACCTCAGGATTCACTTAATTTGTAGGTTCTTAAACTTCTTGAGTTTAAGAAGCTTCTTTTAGAAGCTATGGACAGTTCCAAACCTAGAATATACATGCAAAAATTACACATTTTCAGAGTTAATGAATGCCCCATCTGCCGACCAC